GCTTCCGCTGCCGGCCTTCCACTGCCAGCCCAAGTTGCCAACCTTCCCATGCCTGTCTTTCCGACCTTTCATGCCAGCGCCGTTTGCCGGCCTTTGCCATGTGCCGAAAGGTCCCGCTGCCGGCCTTCCGCTGCAGGCCTCTGCCAAGATTTTACTATGCCAGCATTTGCCGGCCTTTGCTCGTGCCAGCCTTCCGCTGCCAGCCTCTGCCAACCTATTGCCGGCCTTTGCTCGGCATTCTTTTCAATCCAAACTTTTCGACTTTGCCGGCCTTCGTCAATCTCAGGTTTGCCCGCCTTTGCCAACCTTTATGCCGGCGTTTGCCGGCGTTTGCCACGTGCCGACCTTTCGCTGCCGGCCTAAGTTTGCCAACCTTTCATGTCAGCCTTTGCCGGCCTTTGCTCCGGCGTGCCGACCTTTCGCTGCCGGCCTTCCGCTACCAGCCTTTGCCAACCTTCAAGTTCTTGCCGGCCTTTCCCGATATTTCATGCTAGCGCCGTTTGCCGGCCTTTAAGTAGCGGAAGGCATTGGCAGTTGCCACGTGCCGACCTCCCGCTTTGCCGACCTTCTATGCCAGCCTTTGCAGAGCTTTGCCAGTGCCGACCATCCGCTGCCCGCCTGGCGGTGACCGCTGTCGGCCTTCCTCTACAGGCCTTTCAACGACATTTTTTGCTAGCCTTTGCCGGGCTTTGTCGTGCCGACCTTCCGCTAGGCCCGCCTTCCGCTGCCGGCCTTCCGTAGCCAACCTTTGCCAACGTTTATGCCGACAAATTTGCCGACCATTGCCACGTGCAAACCTTCTGCTGCAGGCCTTTGCCGACCTTTTTTTCCAGCCTTTGCCGGCCTTCACTACGTGTGACGGCCTTCCGCTGCCGGCCTTCCGCTGCCGGTCTTTGCCAACCTTTCATGTCAGCCTTTGCTTTGGTCGTGCCGACCTTCCGCTCCCAAGAAGGCCGAGCAAAGGCCGGCACAAAGGTCGGCATTGAAACGCCGGGAGGAAAAGGTCGGCACGAGCAAAGGCCTTCAAAGGCCAGCCGGCATAAAAGGTCGGCAAAGGCCGGCAGGAAGAGTCGGCAAAGGCCTCAGTGCAGCAAAAGGCCGGCAGCGGAAGCAGCACGTGGCAAAGCCCGGCAAAGGCTGACATACAAGGTTGGCAAAGGCCCGCAGCGTAAGGCCGGCAGCGGAAGGTCGGCACGACAAAGCCCGGCAAAGGCTGGCACCAAAGGTCGACAATCATCCGGAAGTGAAAGGCCGGCACCAGAAAGGTGGCAGCGGAAGGTCGGCACGAGCAAAGGTTGGCAAAGGCCGGTGCAGAAAATGAAACCGGCAAAGACTAGCAGCGGAAGGCCCGCAGCGGAAGGTCGACACGAGCTTGAAGGCCGGCAAAAGCTGACAAGATAGGTTGGCAAAGGCCAGCAGCGGACGGCCGGCAGCAAAAGGTCGGGCGGCACGTGAAAAAGGCCGGAGAACGCTGGCATAGAAGGTCGGCAAAGGCTGGCAAAAACTTTCGGCAAAGGCTGGCAAAGGCCGACAAATCTGAGATTGGCAAAGGCCGGCAAAGTCGAAAACTTGAAGTCCGGAGAAGAAGGCCGAGCAAAGGCTGGCAGGAAGGTTGGCAAAGGCTGGCAGCGGAAGGCCGGCAGCGAAAGGTCGGCATGAGCAAAAGCCGGCAACAGCTAGCATACAAGGTCGGCAATTACCGGCAAAAAGCTTGGCAAAGGCTAGCAGCGTCCGGAAGGCCGGCAGCGGGAGGTCGGCACCCCGTCGGCACATGGCAAAGGCTGGCAAACGCTGGCATAAAAGGTTGGCAAAGGCCGGCACTGGCAGGAAGGTTGGCAAAGGGTGGGCCGGCAACAGCTGGCATGCCAAGGTCGGCAAAGGCCGGCTGGAAGGCTCGCAAAGGCTGGCAGCGGAAGGTCGGCAGCGGAAGGTCGGCACGAGCAAAGGCCGGCAACAGCTGGCATGAAAGGTCGGCAAATTTCCGGCAAGAAGGTTGGCACAGGCTGG